GAAATGGTTAAGATCCCTACCCCAAAACTATATATACAATTGTTGGGCATAAAGAGACGAATGCAGTCATGATATTAGAATTGATCCCAGGGTCTGCCCCACCTTTGCAGACTTAACCCCTGGGTTATAACTATGTAACGGTTGAGATCCCCACCCCAAAACTATATATACAAATGCTGGGCAAAAAGAGACAAATGCAGTCACGATATTAGAATTGATCCTGGGGTCTGGCCACAACCCTAGGGACCTAGTTTCTGAGTCAAAGCTTGGAAACAGTTGAGATCCCCACCCCATAACCATACATAAAATTGCTGGGCATGACAAAATCTAATACAGATATGCTACAAGGATTGGCCTTGGGGTTTGGCATATTCCCTTGATCTCATTTGGAGAATATTTTGCCATGATTGCTCAGGTATCCAGGTGAGCGATAAAGGCCCTCTGGGCCTCTTGTTTTATAGGTATTTACATGGGTGTTTGATTCAGCAGTGGTATTGATAAATGTGAATGGTAAAAACAGCAAAGCTTTGAATATGCTAGTGGTCAAAACATTAAAAACAGTTTGTGGTGCCAAACCCTTTTTTTAATCATGAAAATATATTGTTTTGGTGTACATATGAAATTTATTGGGATCTTACGTATTTGAAAATATATGTGTAATTTGTCTTTGTTATATATTATATCAGAACTGTAGTTTGTGTACCATTTGTTTGTGTTGTATTAGTAGTAACTGTTTGTGTAGTTTGTACAGTGTTATATTTGTAATATATGTAATATATTGGTACTTGATAATTAGTTTAATGTGAAGTGCTTTACGTTAGTTTTCCTACTGATCTTATTTTTAACGTGTATGTAATGAAAATGAAGCAGATTGAATTAAACACCCAGTAAATTATTAAAAGTTATGACTTTTTTATTACAAAGTGAGGCTTACTTTAGAAAAATCCTCTTTGTTTTCTTTACTATGTAATTATTTTTTTGTAGAACATAAGGTATATGAAGGATGGTGGTGGATCCAGTTCAGACCCATATAAGCAAGGCAAGGGACAAGAGAAGCTGCCGCGACTTGACAGAAAGGTCAGTAAAGGTTCTAAGCCTGTAGAATTTGATCAATCATATGAGATCAACTCCAACAAAGACACTGATTCAGCAATGAAAAATGAATCAGACAAAATGGTTGAATCAACCAAGAATGTTACGCTAGGATCAACAACCTCAACTAAAAAGAACCGTCCACCTAGAAAAATGGATTCTTCCAAAACTGATTACTCAACAAAAACAGTTAAATCAACAACTTCTACTAAAAAAGCTGATTCAACAAAGAAGCTTGAATCAGCAAAGACAAATGATTCTTCTGCAACTAAAAGGGTTGATTTATCTGGTCAAAAGCTGGAGTCTGCTAAAACAGTCAAGTCACTGGTACGAGCCGATTCTCCTACCAAAACTATAACCAAAAGGGAAAACTCACCTGTTAAAAAACAGTATTCTCCCAATTCTGCTAAGAAGGAAGATTCTTTCTTTGATTAAAACCAACATGAGATGGGTCAGAACTGTGTAGACCTACTGGTATATGGTTTTGATTTGGTGATATGTACACTGTTTAAGATTATTTTTTTACATAGAAGTTTGAAGCAAACAATTTTTTCAAACATTGTGTGGTATTCTTTTTATATACCTGGTATATTATTTTGGCTGAGAGCATTGCCATGCCACTCTCACAGTTAAGGGGAGATTGAGTATCATCTGTTATACAAATACATATGTATTCTAGGTCATATTAGAATTGGTGATAGGATTGTGCATCTGTATCGTAGACACCACTAGGTAAAAATGGTCAATAATTAACAACCGTAATTGAACAGTAAAGAGGATAGCAAGCTACTCATTGCCAATCAGTGTGGCCAATTATCCCCTAGCAGACATTAACTTATACATACTGTATAAACCTTCTCTCCACCTTGGTACACAGTATCGATCACAGACCTGATGAACAGGAGGTGAACCGTTGACTGAATAATGGATCTATGTGATGTTTGAATTATCTATGTGATGGGTATAGTGTTTTGTTCTCTTGTTCACAGTGATCTAAGGTGACTCTAACTCCAAGTTTTACTCAGCAGTAGATCTAAGGTGACATTGAAATACATGTAAGGGCCCAGTGATTCAATTTCCTTACATTCTAAAGTTTTATATATTTAATGATGAAATATATTTATTAGGATTAAATTATGTCAAACTTTGCACTAAAATTTTGATTTGATAAGTACATATTTTTTTTATTGATTTTAGCTGTTATATCTTAAAAAAGAAATGGTTGATAAAACATCTTATTAAATTGGTTACGGAAAAGTTGATCAAACTTTTGTTTGTCTGAATATTTACACTTTTGGTTTTTTAACCAAGGTAAAACTGGGAGCATGAAGTTAAACATCAAAAGTACTGTCAGGTGTGATTTACATTGGACAGGGGTGTCGGATACTTGCCACAATACCTACCTTTTTCACAGCTTTGGTAATGGTATATATATCATATTGTAACGAAGGGTTACTTTCATCATTGCAACGGTAACAGTAGTACAGTCGAACCTTGTTATCTCGAACTCGTATAACTTGAAAAGACCCCGTTTAGCTTGAAGTATTTCATCGGTCCCGGCCAAAACTCTTCTTAATCTTAGTAATAAAAACTCTGATAATTCGAACTCTGAAAACTCGAAAAACTCAGATATCCCGAAGTGAAATATCGGTCCCAACAACGTAAATCCTACATAAAAATATTGCTTACCTCGAAGTTTCTTAAGATTCACAAGTCTTTCATATATTCTTTAATTATTTGATACATATTAAACGCAGTGCTACGGTAAACATAGTTCTCATTGATTTATGAATAAATTGTTATTTTTCATTATATATCGTTATCTTTTTGTCATTTATCGACTGTTTTAATACGTTGACTGTCGGAGAAATCAACAACTTATATATAGCCTCATATTTGACNACGTCACGAAAATGGACGCTGATGACAATGTGTGGAGCCACCTTAACTCGAATACTCGGATAACTCAAAGTTTCCCAATGATCCCGTCGACTTCGAGATAACGGGGTTCGACTGTATATCACTACCATGGTAACAGCAAAAGTCACTATCTTGTTAACGGTAAATGATGTATACACCATATTGTAATGATTACCCTTGTGACTACCATGATAACAGTGGTATATCACTACCATGGTAAGGGTATATGTCACTACCATGGTACTGGTATATGTCACTACCATGGTAATGGTATATGTCACTACCATGGTAATGGTATATGTCACTACCATGGTACTGGTATATGTCACTACCATGGTAATGGTATATGTCACTACCATGGTAATGGTATATGTCACTACCATGGTAATGGTATATGTCACTACCATGGTAATGGTATATGTCACTACCATGGTAATGGTATATGTCACTACCATGGTAATGGTATATGTCACTACCATGGTAATGGTATATGTCACTACCATGGTAATGGTATATGTCACTACCATGGTAATGGTATATGTCACTACCATGGTAATGGTATATGTCACTACCATGGTAATGGTATATGTCACTACCATGGTAATGGTATATGTCACTACCATGGTAATGGTATATGTCACTACCATGGTAATGGTATATGTCACTACCATGGTAACGGTATATGTCACTACCATGGTAATGGTATATATCACTACCATGGTAATGGTATATGTCACTACCATGGTAACGGTATATGTCACTACCATGGTAACGGTATATGTCACTACCATGGTAATGTGTGCTGTGATGGTACAGGGATAATTGGTGGCTGCATGTACCTATAATGCTATCATTGTTGTAAAGTCTGAGAAAAGTTACCATTGTTACAATTACACCTGGTACATAGAAAGTGGAGGTTAAATAATATTATATTTAGATCAATTTACAAATCAATCTTAGGACTTTTTCATGATTCAAGCTGCTGCCTAGGTGTGTTTGGCTGTCAGTAGAAGTTGAGGGTGAAATGTCCCTTTATCAGTTAATGGTACTGATTGGCCAAAAGTACTTGGGACAGCTTGTGATGGTATTGACTATGATAGTAGTTGGGTAGGCTACAGTTAGATAAGATTTTGTGAATTTGTAGTAAGATGTAAATAACTAGAATTGGTGTTCTCCTTATGAGAGTATGGAAATAACTTAAGTAGCATAATTTGTTGAGTAATAAATATCTGTGTTATACATGATAATTATGTTTTATTTTTAGATGTCATTTTAGTGTCACTGTAAGATGGTTTAACATTGTTAGATTTTATGTTATTTCACCTTATATTTGTTTAACACCAGCTGTCAGTACTGAGAGGATTTGTTTAATATTACCTTTTGGTTCTCATACCAATTTGTTTAATTTTACCTGCCGGTACTGATTGAGATTTGTTTAATATTCTTAGACTCGCTCACAACAGAAAACTAACACTAAGTCCTGTAAGTAATAACCCTGAATCGTATCTCATTGTCTAATATCTCTACCATACTTTCATTGTTTTATGTTGTGTTATATTTGACATATCTAACAAATATAGTTCTATATGTAACTATTATCTTAACTTCTTTCTTGAAAATCAAACTTTCATTATATATTTTTTTCTCTTACTTTTTGTGTATTTTTCTAATCCAGATAAGCGGTAGAATGGTATTACACACTGTACCAAGTACATGTTCTACCATAATAAATCCTGCATAAAAACACATTTACTGGTAAATGAAGTTTTAATAATCTAGGAAAATGTTCTGCATAAAAAGTATAAAGACAAGTATCATAAAATAACATGGTATTGCATACTCTGGTACACATTCAATGTTGGGTTGTACTTGAAAGAAATTTCGATTTTCAGGTTTTGATGAATGTTCTAACAAACTTCTATTCTGAACACTTAAGGTCACCTTTTTACTGTAGAACTACCTCAGAGCACGACAATTGGCAAGGCATGCATTACAAAAGATTTAGAAACATTGTTTCCATTGGGAAACAATTGAAAACATTCGGAAGTTTTCAGATTCAATTTTTTTCCCCAATCTATTTATTCAAGGTCTCTCTTTCCTGCTTGTATCACTATTACTCTGTGTCTGTTATAAATGATAAGGACATTACATTGGTAGCATCGGTTATTTAGAAAGAGATCATTGTAATGGCATCAGGAGCTATTAGGTCAATGTCGTGAGAATGTTTATGGCTATTTATAACAAGGTATTTACAATGGTGTTATTGGTTATTTATGACATCCTTACATTTATGATTACATTGTCTATTTGAGAGGTCATTATGGTTGGTAAACGTGGCTATTTATAATTACGTGAAGGTCATTATGGTGGTAACCGTGGCTTTTTTTAATTACGTGAAGGTCATTTCAATGGCAACATCAGTGATTTATTACAAGGCTCTTACAATGGGGCCATGAGCTGTTCTTGTCAATTTCATTTCAATGGTAACATGGGTTATTCATGAAAAGATCATTTCAATGGTTATATTGTTCTATTTTTGGCAACATCATTTTAATGGTAACATTTGTCATTTATGATTTGGTCAATACAATGGGTAAGTTGGTTATTTGCGACAAGATCATTTCATAATGATCGCATAGGTTGTTAATAATGAGGTCATTATGATGGTTACATTGGTTATCCATAGAGAATATCATTTATGATTCTATAAAACATCAATATAGCAGCTATTGCTATGTATTTCACTTCTGCTTGTAATCTTCATATTGTCCTCCTAACTGACCTGTTCTTTCTCTCTGTGTGCTGTCCCCTCTATCAGCAGAAGGATGATCCTCCTAACGTGTATCTGGGCACTCACACAGTCCAGGTACTAGGAGCTGACCAGGTAAACTAAACCACAGAATACAGGTGGAAAGCCCAGCATGTAAAAAAAGGTGTGGCACTATAGGGAAGGCAATACACAGACTTTGTGCAAATTTTTTTAAGGATACTTGTACATTACATGATCTACTTGTGAAATTAGAAAATTTGATGAAAAATATTATATAATATTGAACTTTGTAAAG